GAGAGTATCAGTGCATCAGTGGTCGGTGATACAAAGGTCATCGGTGTTCCAGTGCATCAGTGTCAGTGATCACTGGAAAACAGTGAAACACTGACGGTGAACCATCAGTGTGTACTGAGCTCACCGTCGGTGTCTGTCGGTGTTCAGTAAACCGACACCGCACACCCCTATACGACACCAATCTGAACGAAGTCGGAAGGCACTATCATAAACTGATTTCAAGAATATTCATTATTTTCGAGTATGACTAATCTCTGTTAAAGATTTTTTGTATTTCTTATGCCTAAAATAGCTGTAACATCAGCAATAGGTGACTCACCGGTCACCGTTCACCAGTCTCACCGGTGGACTGATTAGAAATCTACGGTGATGACCGGTTTTCTCTATTATTCAGACACTCCTCTATTAGGAAAATCTAGCTATGGTAATGAACCGGTCATCACCGTAGGTTTCTACTGAGTCCATCGGTGCCACCGGTGAGACTGGTGAGATCGGTGGACGGTGACCGGTGAGATCGGTGAACGATGGTCGGTAAGACCGGTGAGAGTAGTGAACGGTGGACCGGTGACCGGTGAGACCGGTGGATCGGTGAACCAGTTTGTCACCGTCACCGTTGCATGCCTAGTATAAACATATGTCTATTATAATCTATTAATATTCTTTCTTTTCCCGGATGTTGAATTATCTGTTCCGTTAATTTATCATAATTATGAGCATTAATTTTTTGATTAATATTAAATTTAGACCATGCTTTATTGAATTATTTATCAATAAAATTACCTCGATATCTATTCAATAAAAAAGCCATACGTAATAATTCCCTTTCATTTACATATGCTTCATAAGTAGAACAATAACGAATGCTCTTAATAACATTTCAGATGGTATATTCTTTTTAATATGCATTGGATGTACACTATTAAATGGTAAATAATATGATTCATGAGGGTGTGGGTGTGGGGGGTGCGGGTGTGTGGGTGTGGGTGTGAGTGTGAGTGTGGCCGTGGGTGTGGGTAGATCTGAGTGAAGAGAAGACCAGCATCCACACCGACACCAAATCCACCCCCACCCCCACCCCCACCCACACACCCACACACCCACACCCACATCCACACCCACCCACACCCCACACCCACACCCACACACCCACACCCCACCCTCGAGCAAAGCTTGCAAGGCTTCATCATCAAAGTCCACAGGTCGCCCAGAGTGAGGTTTATCCGTTAAGGTGGTATCTTCAGAACGGAGCTTAGTAAACCAATGGCGACAAGCAGAACTGTCGACCACTTCCTCGACATATGCAGCACAAATATTTCTTGTTGCTTCAGCTGCTGTTGAGCATACAGTGCCGAATATGAATTTTTTATTCATCCATTTAATTTGAAACAAAGTAACAACAGAATAGAAGAGGATATATATACGTATATAACGATAATCGTATCACGTATTACAAAATACGCAATAGAAACATTATTATGTAAGGAATATATTATTATATAATAAGAACAGAAAAGATCAAAGTCAATATCAATGTTTATTTGACCTTGAGAAAACAGAAACGAATGTACAGTAATGAGATGAAAGAAAGAAAGAAAGAACGAAAGAAAGACACATATAACAGGGAGAGAAGAAAAGCAAACACATATATGTATATAGTTCGTAAAGAAGGATAAATCTTAAACAATATCAAAATAATCGAGAAACTGTTCTCTTTCAAAAGACATATTATTTGAGTCATCATGCAACATGCGAAAAGAATGCAGAGGCCTATTGGACCAGTACCCGAAACGTGCAAAACTTATGTCTCAATCCAATACAAACGTGAAATTGAACTATTGCCAGCGAGACAGACAAAAGTTGTCGGAAACAATGGCGATTATATTGTTGATTGATGTTGTGTATTTTTGTTGAAAAATAGATTTATTGTCGAACCAGAAAAAAACGTGCAGAACTTATTCACCAATGGGATATAAATGTGAGTGCTTCACGCACAAAATGCTCAATCGAGCATTACAAACATTAGACGGAGACACTATTATTAGAATAAGTTTTCTTCTTTGTGATTTCCACCGACGAATTGAAATTTCACACAAGATACAGATTAGCCTTTATCATGGCACGACCTTTTCAGTCTTTCGACGACAAGAATTATTGCCAGCCGACATCGAAACATGCGCGACAAACAAAGCTGATCTTATATCAGGCTTCCCTAGAGAAAGTACTGAGTTCAGGGTACCCATGTACTGAGAAAGCTCTAGCAGGGTACCCAATATGGGTACTTTGAAAATTCTCAGTAATTTTACTGATGTATATACTGTTTGGGGTATCCGTAAAAGTACATTCACTGAATAAGTACCTGCATGGATACACAAGTCTGTAACTTTACTGAGGAAATCTCGACAGGGTATCATAAATTTTTCGCGTTCTGTGTGGCGACTATTCATTCACCGTTTTCTTTTTTACGTACGGCTCTATATAAATAACTCGATAAATCATAAGAAAATAATCAATTTTCATACTAGTTTTTTTTAAATTATTTCTTGACTATTTCTTAGTCGAGGAAATGCCGAGCTTGGTCGTAAATTAAGATCGGACTACCCTGAAATGGTCTACGACCAACTCAAGTTGAGTCGGATCCCGACATTGTTCCTGCTAAGTTTTTGGAATTGAAAAAATTAAAATGAATAAAGTGAAAAAAAATCTAGTAAATTATCTCAAGAAAAAGAAAAAATTTTAGAAAGTCAAAGATCAGGTTCGATCCTGAACATACTGAAAATTTGGTAACAGGGTACTTAGAAATACTATACAATGGTACCCAATTCAGTACTTGATCAGTACCTTTAGGTACCCAATTACTGTGCATTTTCCAGCAGGGTACTTGCCAAAGTACCACTTAGGTACCTGTAAGTACCTGCAAGTACTTTGGTACCCAAAAGTTCCTGTGACATACTGGTATCAGGGTACTTTTTTGGGTACCCTTAACTCAGTATATTCTCTAGGATTGGTTTTGTTTATACGATGAAAACATTTAAATATAAATAGGACAATAATCGATACTGTTTTAATCATTTCATTAGAGATGTTTCGTTATGAACTCATAACATCATCAATCAGAAAATGAAATGAACAACAAGACGAATGAGAATATAAATAAACAATACAAACGACAAATATAAGAACAAAGACACATATTAGTCATATTGTGCTTTATCGTTAAGCTGAAGAAAATCTTTCAGCAAAAGGCTGAAAATATGCCATTATCATTAGTCTTAATAAATTCAATAATTTGAATGTTAAATCAGATATTGAATACATATATCATTAGATGGATAAAAACTCATTACTAAATAACTTGGATAAAGCTAACAGAATTAACACATATTAAATGATTTTCATAATAAATTGAAGAAAAAAATTGAGAAGGAGATTCCAAATTTAAATGCAGATGAATTAAATGTTATTTCCACACTATTAAACGAATATTTATTACTTATCTCAAAGGTGGATAAGGAAAATGCTATTGTTGTTATGAACAAATCTGATTATCTGATCAAAGCAAAAGAGATATTAGATAATGAAAGAGCATTCAAAAAATTAGACTATGATTTAACTGATAAACGTGAACAAGAATTTATCGAATTTCGATTGCAACTTAAAATAAGCAAAATGATTAATTCTAAACAATATAGATTAATGAGACCGGAGACGGGTTCACGAACACCAGCAACATATTTCTTAGTTAAAGTACATAAATCGGGGCAATCAGTTCAACCTATCATTTCAAGTTATAATTCATATAACTATAATACGCCTAAATATTTAACAACATTACTTAATCCAGCAATCTCACAATGTCCGTCTTATGTTAAAGATTCATTCGATTTTGCAAGAATTATAAAAGAAAATAAGACCTTACCAGGGCTCAGAAAAGGCTATTAATATTTCTATTAAGAAAATTAAACAATTTCATCCCAAATTAATTATAGATGATGAGAACTTGAAAGAATTATTTAATTACTGTACAAAAAGAAATTTCATATTTAATAATGAGCATTATGCTCAAATAAATGGCGTGGCAATGGGCAGCCTTGTTGCTCCTATACTGTACACTTATTTGTGAGTGAAGTAGAAGGGAATATTAACTATATTAAAGGAAAAAACCCACCAATTTTCTACCGTTATGTTGATGATATTTCTATGATATCATATGGAACACAAAGATATATTGCAATATTTGTGCGATTTATGAACAAATTAGAATGTACAATTACATTCACCGTAAAAATACAAACAGACAATAAAGTACCTTTTCTTGACGTCATATTGGAGAGAAAAAATTCAGAATTAATAACCTATATCTATGGAAAATCCACTGACACTGACGTACGTTTAAAATAGACAAGTAATCAACCTGGTAATTATAAAATTAATTTAATTAAATATCGATGCACTCGTGCAAAAAGAATTTACGCATCAGATAGACTATTTAAGCAAGAATTAGAATGTTACAAAAATATTTTTCTTATGAATGGATGTCCTCGTAACGTTATGAAGAAAACTATTCGTAGTATTGAATTAATATTAGCAAGAAACAACCTGGTCTGAATATTCAAAAATTATTTATTCCTTTTCCGTATTATGGTGAATGTTCAATAGTTTTAGCAAAGAAGATTCGTAAAATTATGCAAACTCCTACAACGCACATTATATTTGGATTTAAGGCAGAAAATAGAATTTCTTCATTGTTTAGCAGAACCTATCGTTGCTGCAATGATAATAAAACAGTAGTTTACACAAAAAAAAGCCCTCAATGGCGTTAGTTACTCCAAGATTGCAGGACACTGCTTTAATACAAATCATCATGAGAATTAGAATACTAATATGTTAGTAATAGAGTCGAATGATTTGAAAAGAAATATTAAAGAAAGTTTACTTATGGACTGATACAATGAAAAGAAAGGAAAACAGGTTTACTCGCAGAAGAGCTTCCTATTAAATGAATTCTGATCAAAAAGACACAATTTTTTTGGGCGGTGTTAAAAATTAATAATTTTATTAAAAGAAAACGTTTTCTTATATTTGTCTTTGTATTGTTTATTTATAATCTCATTCGTCTTGTTGTTCATTTCATTTTCTGACTAATGATGTTATGAGTTCATAACGAAGCGTCTCTAATAAAATAATTAAAACGGTGTCCATTATGGTCTTATATCGTTCAAGAACTTTTTATCTATCAGTAAAGATCCAGGGTGTGGATGTGGGTTTGACGCTCGAGAAAGAATATAACCACACCCATACCCGTGCCTGAGTGATAATCTAATGAGCGTAGATATGATGTACAATAATGATGATAGGGATCTGCAAACATAGCGGCCTACCCATGTACTACACAAGTATTGTCATAAAAAGAGCATTGAGTCTGCATGAGTCAAAGTATGAAGCGACCTGATTGACTGTGGTATAAAATGGTACCTCTCTCTCACACACACACAATAACCGAAGTATGAAGAAAAAACGGTGTGGATATGGATTTGGATTGTTGGGTGTGCGTTTTGAGCTGCTCTTCACCTTTACCGATACCTACACTCACATCCTATCGAGTTATATTTTACATAGTTTAGTTTTAACAAACTTCAAGTTGGGGCAGTCTTTTTGGTAAATATCTGGAAAATACAAAATCTCTATCCAACGATGCTACAAAAACTTATTAACAAAACTAATACTTGTAAAGAAAGCATAGAATAAAACGTTTTCATATTAATCATTAAGTAGACATTATTTAGTAATTTTTTTGGAACAAGTTTTATGATAGTGAGAAAACGAATATTATTCAACCACTCTATACTTTGATAGTCAACGCATCTATTACTTGCTTCAAATACAAATGTTTGCTTGTTTACGTCATGAATAAGTTATTTTGTAAATAGTTTTCTTGGATTTTAATGTAAAAAATAATATTTGAACTTATTTACTGTTTTTCTCAACATTTGATTTTTCATTCGAAAACGAATGAAATTCATCACAGACAGTTTAAAATCAAAAATTTTTTTTTATTTTCTTCGTTTTGAATCTCTAAGTGAGTCTAAATTTTTGTCCAACTCGATTTTTTATATTTAATATCTGAACTAAGAAAAACTAGATTGAATATTATGAGTGTATCACTTCCTCAAGAATTTTCCTGAAGTTCATAAATGAAATATCAATCAGCTAGAACTTCAACATAGTCTAATATATCGGACTGACACTTTTTTTTAACAAAGTTTCTTATTACGACCACTGATCTCTGAAAAAGTTCAACTAAAACAAATTTTCTTATGTATGAAAATCTATTATAATTCATTCATTTGAGCAGTGACATAAAACACTTCATCGTACGTTTTGCAAACGCAGTTTAGAAATCTATCAAAAATATTTTTGATCACACATCCATTTTTTTTCATGATTACGATAAGAATAATGAACATCCTTCAATTGATGTATCCTATCATTCATATATATACATATGTCTATATATATATTAGAACTCTAAGTTCCAATAAAACATATTTTTTTTACATTCTCCATAATTTAAATTTGATTATTACATTATTATTCTAAGGTATGTTTTGAAGATCTTTTTTAAAGTGTGTCTATATTATTAGTATTGTAGTAACACAATTCACTTTTTGCATGTACTTTCATTCGTTGACATGCAGATTCATATAAAAAGAGAGATAGAAAGAAACAATGACAAGTCTTATGTATGCACGTACTGAACTATCATCATGCCAAGCGACACTTTTCAATATTATGTTGTAATAATAATAATAGTACAAATTTTATATTTGCACAATCATACATGATTCTTGTTCAACATTGATTGGAAGCATATGTCATAGTGATAAAAGGCAAATGAACGATACGTACTGTTATGTGGTTTCTTTCCTTTCTTTTTTTTTCTCTATTCGAACCTTTATATAACACAACGTAATAATATGATTAAATACAAGGTACTTTTATCACTATGGGAAACAATAAGAAAAAACAACAAACACTTAACCTATTTTCTCTCATTTGTACTTTTAACACTTTTTTCTTTATTAATAACGTAACCAAAGATGATAATATGAAAAATGTTCTCTATATTTAGCATATTCAATATATATATATATATGCACGGAACTAACTCTATTAAAACAAAATTGTTTTCATCGTCAGATGTTGGTACTAACAAGCAATACAATATGCTTACTATATACAGCTTGTGTGGGCTACTCACATCATCAAACCAACATCGATCAGGTACTATTATTTGAAGAGAAAAAAAAACCCTCTTTTTTTTTTAATATAGCACACGTTTTCTTTTTTTTCCACTACTTCTTATTACCGGTACTGCTTATTCATCCTTCTTTTTTTCTCGAGAAAAGGTGTGCTACTTGCGTATGAGACGAGAAGAAATAAAAAAAGAATGCTTTCTATTGATTAACCATTAGAACTCTTTGAAACTTGTTTGTTCTGTTTATATTTTGACATTGCGTGCTTCATTTTGGTTTCGGCGAACTATCATATTTTTATCGTAAAAAAAAAATTAGAATCATCTTGTTGAGTAAGAAGATAACAATAAAGTATATAAATTTAATAAATCATTTATTGTAATAATAGATACATGAAGAAAAAAAAAGAATATAAACTTGAGAAATGTACATAATAAATGATGTAAGATTTACATCAAGTTCTTTTCTTTTTTCTTGTCGTCTTCTTCGTTTTCACTGTACATCAGACTCTTGTCTTTACTCAAGCTTATCACGTCACTACCACTTATTGTTTTCAACGAACACTTGACGCATGAGAGCAAGTATATGAGTAAGAGAAAAAATGAATTGGGTAGAATATGTCATGCTCTTAACTGTCGTCAGTCGACTTTTTTTTTTGTTAAGTGAGAAATGAAAAAAAAAAACCAAATGGTATAGAAAACAAAAAAAAATGTATTAGTTAAAAAATCTTTTTATTCATATTTTTTTCTTTTTTTTCTGTTTTGTTGTTTTTAAGTTACAAAAAAAAAAAGAGAAAGAATCCTAACAAAGACATTTTATTATCGAAACAGGCATAGGAAAAAATATCTCATGAAAAATGATTGAAAATTTTTCATAAAAAAAGAAAAAAACCAAACAAAAGACGAATCTTCATCTGGTCTATCTGCTTGTTTTTTGTTTTTCTTTCTAAAAACGTATGTCATTGATATGATAAATGGATTTAGTTTAATTGGCATACATTAAAAACGATCGATCGTTTTAATGAATATTCATTCGGAAATCATTTATTCTCCAGATATATGACAACAAAAAAAATTGACGGAAGTTAAAAAAAAAGGTAAGACTAGACTAATTATCAATAGTCAAAAAAAAAAGTATAAAACTATAATTAATAATTATTCTTTAAACAATGACTACTTTGTATATTAATCTATGTCTCCTGCTGTGTGCATTTGCATTCAATTTTCTATTTATCTCTTTTCTTTCTTTGGCTTAAATTAAATTGTATGCAATGATGTTGACGATAATATTCGAGTCACACAATGTGTAAATTTCAATGTCATTAAATGAGTTTATCTGTCGGTACTATTTTTTGTTTTTATTCTATTCATTTATTAATTGCTTTTATAATGATGATATATCGATCTTTGTATATATGGTATTGTTCTTTTCGTTTTGTTTTCTTTGTTGTTAAGTCTCTAGACATAAATCAAGTAAAAAGAAATTATTTTGTTTCGGAAAGAAAGATATTTTTCTTTTTTAGGTGATTTCTAGCTGCAAATAATAGTTATAAATGATATCTTTATTATGTTTAACTATGCATATTTTACTTGAAGAAATATTCAATATTCGAAGAGTAATAGAAAAAAGAATAGCTATTGTAATCATTACATTTGTGACTTTAAAAATGCAAGGCGAAAAGTTCAA